AAACCAAATTGTTCAATATTAATAGTAGGTGTGAAAAGTGCCCAAGAAAATGTTTTACAATTTTCAGAGTACAGTACGAGTGAAAACTAAAAATATTGACTTTGATGTTCGCAGCTGGCAAACATATCTGGACATATTATTTATAGTCATCCACGTGCATTGTAATTTAGACATACTTTCCTTCCCATACACCACATTTCTATGAAACATTGAAGGAATCTGAGGTAGGAACAATTTTCCTAACTGGTACTATAGCACATGAACAAAGATCTAACACTAAAACAGTTACTTGGTCTATGTTACTTACAGTAGTATTAACACGAGCCAAGTAACTGTTTGATTTGCTTTCATTAATTAACTTAAGCTAAGTAGCTTTTTAAATTTTTTACGTTCATTAATTTAACCTGAATAGCTATTTAAATTGAAGTGGCTGATCTGTAGTCTAAGCTGTGTATGCTTATTTACGTAACAGCTTTTCTTAGTTTCTGTATTTGGTAAACTTATTTTTGTATAGATATTACAGTTTGTAGTAATGTGTGCGAAGTTGAAGCCATACATTAATTTTATGTCGAAATTTATTTTGAATCGTAATCCTCGTAATAAACTGTTATTCTTTTAAGTGCATGACAAGATCAACTGAAAGAGCAGTGCTTCTGGAGGTTAACTGTTCTGTTGCACGTCATCCTTTCCTCAATTAGCATGAGTTATATTATTGGTTAGTTGTAAGTATGTTTAGCAAGTCGACTACGTAACAATAGTAAATTGACAAACAACGATTTATAAACATAATAAAGTTGTTTTATTTTAGGAAATATACTGCATGTTTCTATAGAACATTGGTCTGTCTTCTTAAATCGTATTAACATAAGGTGCTTCTATAAACAGATATCTACTACGTAACAAACATAATTTAACGCAGCTGTTAGGTAAGATGTATCATGGGATGTCCTTACATATAAAACCGAGCGGTCTATCTATATACTACTAAAACTCTGAGATTGTTTGTTTGCTTGTCTGTAATTAAATACAACAAAAACTGTGCACAATACCGCCATATTTATAATGAAATGAGAATAGAAACAGAATAAAACAAGTTTTGTTAAAATCGGGCCACGGGTTACCGAGTTAGTCCCGTTTTTCAGGTCACTTTTATGAAAATTTCTAGCATGAGTAATTTTACATCACACTACCGTTCGCGCTCGTTACGAAACTTCTTCGTTGAAATATTTTTCCCTGTCAATGTTCCCATCTTCATTAAAAGGGGTAAGATGACAAAAACAAGATCTTGAAGAATTTTTCAATAATGTGCCTTGGTTATAGTAGGTAATTCGAAGAAAAAATAAAGTGTTACTGTTTCTTATTTGTTGAAGATTTAAGAGGAGAGACCACAACATAATGAACTAATTCATCACAATACCTGAAAACTCTGACTTCACTTTTTTTGAAATGTGAAATGGTCTTTTCTTTTACTCCCGATCAACAATCAAATATCTTTTCTTGAATTATGAACAACCCGAATGGATTGAAATATTTAATTGAATTATCTCAAAATAAACCTTCATTTCTGTGCAAGATTGAAATTAGCTTCAATTCTTCATAACCTCTGAATAGTGGGTGACCCAAAGGGTCACGGGTTGTCTAGTATGAAATATAATCCACGCACTCAAATTTAAAAATAATCATATTTTATTATTGAGTGGGGTCGTATTATTGTCATTTGTAAATTCGCTCTCACTTTTCGAGCCCTTTATACTTTTTATGTATTTTTAACGTATATAATATGTTTTTCATACTTAGAACACCGTAATGGACACTACCATCTAATATATATGCTACAGCCACTATTGATACACGTACTGTATAAATTGGCCAGTGAGAAAAATTCAGCTGGATGAGCGTTTAACTTCACTTGTGTATTTAACTTAAACTGGGCTCATGTATAAATTGAGTATTGTGATTAGGTTTCACAAGGTAGCAACGGTGTGATTATTTCTCGCAGTTTATATATGTATAAGATTTTATATGCTGGTGTATAAACTGAGTATTGGGATAAGGTTTCACAAAGTAATAACGACGTAATTGTTTATGGCAGTTTCTCTGTGAATAGGATTTTATAGATTGATATTTAAACTGAGTATTATTAAAACAAAGAGTAACTTGAAAAAATAAACCTAAACTTATAAATACAGGGATAATGATATGTCTTAGCTTGTTGAGAACTTTTATTGAAGTACAAATTCCATGTTTATAGCATACATACAACCAGAGGTACAAGTATGGATAACTTAGTTTTGTTATTTCACCTGTCCAACAGGTTTCTCGTGTTTCAAGGGCATTAAGCTGCTTGGGTCTTGAGGTACAGATGAAAATGTCATCATGGAAAATGCAAACTATCCTTTTCTTCTTGCAAGTCATAGTTGTAATATTTATATTTTATTTAACTGACTTGCGTGTCGTTCGAAAAGTGTCGTTTTCAAATGCTTCATTACATTTTCCTGTATCCGATCAACTTAGTTCAGGTAATGTACAAAGTTACAAGTATACAGTAGCGTATAAAGTTGAGAAATATTAACTGTCTTCATTGAGTTAAATATAGTATTAAATGTCTGCAATAAACATTATGAATTGAAACTTTTTGGATGTATTTATTAAAACTACTTACTATAATAAAGTTTGTGCTCTCTATCGCAAGAAAGAAAGAAACATTCTGTTCAACAAGTTTTACAGTTAACATTATTGAAAAAACACTGAAGATATCAACCAATTATTCTTTTAAAAGAGAAAAACCTTATTATCTTTACTGTGCATTATATATTCATTCCTTTACGAGTTGGCCTTGCATGGCTTGGTGGTTAGAATACTAACTTGCAATCTGGGGATCGCGGGTTCGAAGCTACTCGAAGTCTATCTCCGCCAACCGTCACTAATTTAGGAGTGATAGACTAGAGGGAAAGCAGTTAGTCAACACCATCCATCGCCAACTCTTTGGTTTCTATTTTACCAACGAATAGTGGGATTGACCGCAAAATTATAACGCTTTAACGGCTGAAAGAGCGAACATGTTCGATGACAGGAATTCGAACCCGCGACCCACAGATTTTGAGTCGAGCGCCCTATCCACCAGAGGAACAAATGCTCACGTTGGACGTGGGACCGTTTAGTTTGTTACAACGTTTAAGTATATTTTGTTGTTCTCTTTTATTGTGACACTGAAAAACCTTTTCTTCCTATGTCAGTCTTAAGTAGGTGTCCCTCGTTGGGACAGAGGTAAGTTTCTGACTTAAAACGCTCAAATCCGAGTGAACTGAAATTCGGAGCTATATTGGGTAAGTTTGCTGAAGAGGAGATTTAACAATATACATATGGTTATGACAGAACAATGCTTAATTAATACTAGCTGAGTTTAAGACACAGACTGGACACAATGTGTAATGTACAAGGACAATAACCTTTTTTAATTTCAAAATGCAAACACAATGGGTATACTTACTATTCAAATGAGACAGTGACTTTCTGCCAGATGTTTCTCAGAGTCAGATCAGAGTGAGAATCCTCCAAATCACCCCTTAAACTGGTTAAATGCTAGCTTTCATACTCTTTACTGAACCTCCAGGAGAGAACCCCGGTCAGTAATGTCCTAAGCTATATATTTCAACTAACTGTACAAAAGAAGCATTCAAACAGAACATAAACATTACAGGAAAGAAGGGAAATTTCAGTAAAATATTTAAAAGTTGCCACGTCTATAGTGCATTCTCTTCTTGCCATTGGCATTTATAGTGAGATTATTGTTACAACTAATTATTATGATAGATTTATATTTTAAACATCTTGTTTTGGGATTGTATGAAGCCAAATAGTGAGAGAGAGGTTTATTAAAGTAATTCATGTTGGTTTTCTATAGCAAATAATATGAGAGCTATACAGGTGAGATAGTATTTTAGATTGAGCTATTACCAACTATTAATGAAGATATGGTTACAAGAGTTAAAGTAGGGGAACACTTGGGGAAGAGGAATCTTGCTTTCGTAATTATGTATATTTGTTGTTTTATTACACGTTGAAATAAGAAAAAACTGTGGTATAAGGATATACCATAAGGTTCACTCTTTCTGTAGTACTAATATTTATCCTAAATTAATTTTTAGTTCTGAATATGTTCCAGTTTTGGCACAGGAATTGGAATTCATGTTACCTTGGTTTCTGTATAATCTTTCACAAAAGATTTACCTGTACTGCCTGCGAATACTGTGTTAGCTGCCATGAACGCATATGGTATACATATATATTCTACTCTGAATTTGCTTTTACGTCATTAGGCAAAAATGGTCGAATGTCAGTAATGGTAACAAGACTTCGTTTCTGATTAGCCCTCATCTTTAAGATGTTGGGTGACTTTTACTATCTTACCTGTATTGTTATTTTTATTCTGTATGATTTCTTACCGGTCTTGTTTATTGATTTGAAGTTATATAACTCAACTTGTAACAATAAATAGTGTTTTAGTTTTTGTTAGTGTTTCAATAAGTACCGAAACTTTACTACAAATATGGTAAATCATAATGTACTTTTAACATTCAGTAAATAAGTAAAATCATATTAGATTAGCTAACAAAACTGTAAAAAAAAACAACTTTGATTTACAGGTATTTTCAAAAACAACAAGATTTAAAGACACAGAAATGTAAATATAAACATCGGTGTATTTAATATATCTTCAATTCTTAAAATATTTGTCCTTGCTTATTTTTGTAGCTCGGTATACAATACGTTATTTTGTAAGTTCAAGTCTACTGGACTAAGATTACTTCATACAGTAATTAATATGTTACAATATTTTACTTAAACCAATTTAAGTATGTTGTACTTTTAAATCGGTAATATTTTTCTTCGACTTTTTTCCATGTATTATTTTATTAAACGTGTGAATTTTTTTCCCTATAGATGACATCAAGCTACAACTTACAATTATAACAAACAAAGGTCGCTTAGGGAATCAAATGGGAACACTTGCAACTCTCTATGGCTTAGCTCGCCTTAACAAAAGGAAACCTTTTCTACAATTATATACTGCAAACTTCCTCAGGCAATATTTTCAAATAAACTTACCTGTAACTCTTAAGCTTTGGGAGAAAAACAAGAAACTTTCGTACCATAACATCGGTACATTCATACAATCGAGGGATGTAACATTGGCCAAAGATGTTGTTATTTTGAGAGGATATAAATTCCCGAATTCACCAACATTTTACGATTTTGTGAGATATGAGATTAAAGAACAGTTTCGGTTCATTGATTCAATAGATGAATATGCTGAGTCAGTGTTACATCAAATACAACAGACAAGGTCAGTAGAGACGTTTATAGGAATTCATGTGAGAAGAACAGATATGGTAAAAGTAATGAAACGTCACAAATCTTTTCTTCCAGGAAGTGAATATTTCAATAAGTCTATGGATTATTTTCTTTCTAGATATCAAAATGTGGCTTTTGTGGTCGCTAGTGATGACCGGAAATGGTGCCAAGAAAACCTGATACACCCTAATCTTGTTATAGCTCCACATCCTCCGTCTCCTGCTCATGATATGGCAGTCTTGTCCAAGTGTAATCATAGTATTATCACTGTAGGCACATTTGGAACATGGGCTGCATACCTAGCTGGAGGAGAAACTATCTACTTTAAGGCTTTTCCACCGAAACATCCATATCTTAAGTCATATCCGTATGAATACATGTATCTCCCTGAATGGACAGGCATGTCGTGAGGGTTTTCTATTAAAATATTCTAACAGGTTGTAATTCACGAATAATTCATTAATACTTTGTAATGAAAATGTAGTAACAATTGTAAAAATAATATGAGCAATAGTTTCTTTTGTGACAACTTTTCCTAGATGTGTAATAATGCACTTTACTGAAATACAATGTGGGTAGTTTTCGTGGAATATTAGTATTAATGCCTACCTTAAACACGAATAAGTGTACAATTGTATATAATAATTAATAAAAAGTTTTAGTTGAGATCGTCATCATTAGTTAATCCAAGACGAAAATATTTTCTTTACCATTTTTTGAAATCGTTACTGCAAGGTGTCACCAGATGACATACAACATTTGAATAATTTTCATTAGCAATTTTAGAAACTGAGTGATGCAACACATTTGCCACGATCTTTTATATCATTACAAACAAGTTAGAAAGGAAAAGAAATGGAGAGAAACAATATCCCAACTGATAACTGGAAACGTTTTCATTGCTTGCAAAGTAATCAAACTGATGTTACATATCACCCAACTGTGGCACATTACTCGGCATAACAATGGGGAATGTTAGAGCTTAGTAAGCCAGAAGTCATTCCGCTTGAATGGATTAAGTTTAGGTAAGAACAATTGGAAGATGTATTTCTAAAGAAACAAAGTTCAAGAATATGCGAATACAAACATTAATTTGCATCGAAATTTGAGAGTTGAGAAACGCAGTCTACTTTGTCACATTTCAGATACAGTAAATAATTAGCTACTCAATACAGAAGTAACGTAAACGTAGTATTCACCAGGTTTAAAACTTGAGATCGATACTTATTAATCACGGAATAAACTCTTTGTTTGTAGTTAAGCACAAAGCAACACGATAAACTATCTGTGCTCTGCCCA